GAGGCGTGAGTGACTGGGAGATGTGGCACTGGCCACACTAAGATGAGCGTTTCCAGGTAGAAGGCTAGAAAAACATTAACGGAAGACACAGTTGGTGGCAGTGGGGAGTGAGCGGTATCACAGAAACAAAGCCTAGCTCCTCCTGAGATCTATCAAAGTATTTGCTGTCTTGCAGAGACATACTCAGTGATTGAGTTACTTATGCGGTGACCGTGGATTTCTCCCTTCTCGGTCCTCGTGCTGTGGGGATTGTCCACTTCTGCATCTGTTGGTTGTAGGGAGCAACTTCTCTTTGAAGACATCTTCCTGATTCGGTTCAGGTGAAGGGCATTCAAGGCTCTACTCCATTTACCAGCTCCTCACTGAGGTGTCACGCTGCTCCCGCTGACACAGCAGGAGTGTGCTGGTGAGGCTCTCAACAGTTGCTGTGGAAGCTGCTGTTACTCCTGCCCTGCAGGGCAATTTCCCTGTGCTAGGGGAACCAAAGTTTCTCCTGGCTTCCTGAACTATCCACGGACATCCTGGGTTTATGTGAAGGAAGGTGGCCCAGCGCTTTCGTGGTGGTGCTGGCAGGCTAGAGCAGCTCTTGCAGAGGGGTGGAAGCGTGTAGCGCATCGTGAGTCCTGATGGTGGATTTGTGATCAATCTCTTTACACCTGGAAACTGCAAATGATAATTGTGTTCTGTGAGGACATAATGGCAACTGGTGGGTTTTTTTGCTCCCCTCCCACCCCTCTTATTTTTTTTAAAAAAAGCTGTATTTGGATAAGATTTTTTAAATTTTACTCATCCTTTCAGTGGTCACCCATAATGGAACAAAAGATGGGACTGAGAGAGTGGCCCTGACACTGCTTATACCTTTCTGACTGGAGAACTCTTTGGTTTGTTTAACAAAACATGGAGGCTTTGCAAATGCGCCTTGATAGGAGTCTCCTGCTGAGTATTAGGCTTCAGTCTGGGTTTGTGTGGATTTAAAAGGAGTGTTTGGATGATGTGGTACATTGCTGAGCTAGGCTCCAGGAAGATGTCAACAAGTGTTGTACTGGTTTATGTAAAGTCCAGCAGTTAAATACCACGTTAAACATGTGAAGCATAATTTTAATGACTTTCTGTGAGAGTTTTGGGCAAAAGGATGATGATGATATACTGATGATATTAACACATGCAAGAAAAGTATTCTTTGCAAGGATCCCAGCATTAAATGGTTCCTTAAGGTACGAATTTTATTCCAGCCCTGCAGTTTATAGATTGTGACTTCATTTCTCCCAACACCATATTAAAATGTCTTGTTGTATCTTGAGATCTGCTGCATCTCCACTGGGAGATTTTATTTGAGTTTGAGCACTTTCCTAGGAAAATAAATGTTTCTAAATCACAAAACCATTCCTTTTGGCCATTCATTCTCTTGTATTAATTTGAATACTATTCCTCCTTCATTTTAATATGAGTATTTAGTCCTTTATGAACTTTCTGCCCTGAACAGTTGTACAACTTGAGTAAGGATCTAGTTGTCTGTCAAGTTCAGTGTTGTGCACTTTTCTTCTTCAGTTTTGGTCTTACTGCAGATGTTATCAGTATATCTCATTTCTCGGGGGGCACAGAAGACGGGGAAAAGTTGAGGGGAAAAGAGCAGTCGGAGGAGGGGAAGGCTTATTTACAGTGTGCTCTATGTCCACACCTGAAGTGTATTTCTCACCTCTGCTTTCTGGAGGCACAGATCCTGTTCTAATGGATCCTTTGTGTAAGAAAAAATAGGAAAAATGTAATGACCTGACATTTTATTTTCTTTAAGGATAATTTTGTATCAACTGAGTTAGCTCAGTTATCTTGCTAAAAAATGGAAATTGACCTTTTTGAGTGTGAATTTGTACTGGGTAGAATATAGCCTGTTCTACAGAATGAGAAATTAATTGTAATGTGCTTAAAATATTGTGCTGTTTAGGAAGGCAGCTCTTACTGGATAATACAGGGTTTATGTGGTATGATACAGTTTCACAAAAAGCAGTGATATACACTGTATTAACAGAATTTGGTATAAGTGAAAAGCAGATATTTCTGATGTAATTATCCTTTGTGGCAGGTTTAACTCTTGTTCCGTTGCTTAACGGTGAGGAGTTGACTTTGCAGTTACCTTTTGACTTTTCCAGCTGCTCTCTTGCTCCTGCTCAATCTGTGCTATCCGTGGCTTCAGGCAATTCCAGGCTTCAATGCAGATGAGAAAGCAAACCCCTGCCATCCCAAACCAAACTAAAACAAAGCCCCTCTAAAAGAGTTTTCTTTGCCTTTTTTTCCCCCCTGCTCTGACTACATACTCTCTCTTGGGATTTGAGATACTCTTTTATTCAAATTTTGTATACTGTTCCTACCAGCAAACTTTAAAGGACTAAGAGTTAATGCATGACTAATTGTCTTTGCTAGTTAGGTGGGACTGAACTACTTCTCAGTGGGATGTCAAAAGAAAATGAGTTTGCTTTATAGTTTCAAAAAGGGGAGCAATTTGGCAAGAAGAGCTTTACATACAATGCCAGGAGAGGCACAGATAAATTTTAGAAATGAAACCTTGGAATTCAAAGTTTATATAAAGCATGCTTTCTATCAGTAATATTCATATACTTACATTCCATCTTTGTCTTTTGAGCATTTTATCTTGCTCCTTCCCAAGCTTCTCTATTTTGTCTCTTTGCCTGGACCATTACCATTCTCTGTTTTGTAGTCCTTGAAAGAAGGAAATACAGATGGTAGCATTCCTGAACAAAACTGGTCTTTAGCTTTATCTAATGTTTGAGATTCTTTTGCTTAATTTGGGGCTTGCTTAGTTTTAAATCCCAACATTGACTTCTGAAGGTACTTCAAGGCCTCAGTTGCTAGCAGTCAGACTTTGTTTAGAAGCTTATTCTCAATGAGGCAAATTTTACAGTAGGGCACGGGGCACTGGCACTACTCTGCTGCTTAAAAGGACCCATTTTGTTTTGGGAACCGTGAAGGAGCCAGTGTTGCAAATTTGCTGTAATCAAAACCCAATGAGACTGATTGTTAAGGAAAAAAAAAAACCAACATACAATACTGAAACAAAAGTTTTACAGATGGGCCTGGTGAGATTATTTTTAGACGTGTAAATTGATTGAGTGTTATCAGTAACACATTTTTTTACTTGAACTGCAACCAATGCTTTGACAGTTTTTCCTGCTTAGCCACTTAAAGATTAAATTAGAGTGTTTTACAAATAATTCTTCTTCTATCTAGAACTTTTGTTTTTGAGATCTATAGATATGAAATAAATAACTTTAAAAAAAGGTGATTTTTTCCAACAGGAGAGAAGCAATGCAGTATGCTGTCTGTTACACAGATTTATGGAGATCATTGGAGGCTGCTGAGCATAGTTCTACAAGATTATTATAGGAATACAAGCACAGTCTATGTCAAGCTTTCTGGATTGCTTACTTCTAAAATAAGCCCCAACAGTGGAAAAATTGCAGATTAAAGACTAGTGTACTCTATGCTTCTATGTCTCGAGTTTTGTTGCTTCTGAATTCTGATTTTCCCAAAACTCTGTAGAGATTACAAGCAGTAAACGGACTATATTTTGGTTGCTATGAACAAATGAGGAATTTGAAAATACAGAAACAAGAAAGCAGTAATTGATCCTGGTGTTCCACAGGAACATCTGTCTGGAGTTTCAAAGGCAGCTAACTATCAGCTAAGGCAGATTTTCTGTCTGGCTGTGTAAGGATTGTGTGAGCTTGTTGTGTCTATGTTGAAGCTGCTATTGTTCTCCTGCTGTGAAATGACAGATGGACATGTCTATCCTGAGAGATTTGTGACTTTTGGCTGACTTGTACTTTCCGAATTCATGCATAATAGAGCTTGTTCTAGTCCTTCAAGAGGTAGGTAAAAACAAAAATAGAAAAAAACCCAACACAAATTAAACATATGGTGCCAGGCTGTATTGTGAAATCATCAAAAGTATATTCCTTTCTTCTTTTTGAAGACTGATAAGTTATTTTCCTGAAGGGGAGCTATCAGCTTTTGGTTTATTTTTGTAAGGATGTAACATCCGCTGCATATGTATGCATGTAGTTTCATTTGCCTTAGATAAAGGAAATTGTGGTGCTATTCTAGAGAACTTTTACAGCCAACCAGTACTAAAAACTGGGATCCTAAGAAAAAGGAATAATTATGAAGAAGACTGAATTTATTGACAGCTTGGGAGGGGAAGGTGTATAATTCAAAACTCCTTTTTTTTTTTTTTTTTTTTTTTCCCTAATGAATTACCATGTCCTTAGAAACATGAGTTTGCTGTACTTCATATGTAGCATAAATGTGTGTTAATTGGGGTAATGAAAATATTTTAAGTATATGAAAATAGGGTTTGTCTGACAAAAGCATATTAAAGACATTCATCTCTGTTCAGGTCAGATAAATGCATTTTTGTGTTGAACTAAATGATCCTAGCATTTACAAAGGAGAAGAAATTGGTACTGGTTTTAGAACACCTGTAGGAAAAGTACTACTGAATCAATTGGAATCACTGTTATGCAGTAAAATTAAATGCTGGTGCTTACTCTTCAGTTTGCTGTTGTTTAGTTCAAACACTGGCATTTTTGTTTCTATGTTTCCTCTGGAAGTTTGTGAATTGTTAAGGTATGCTAAGGCAATCCATTGGTCAAGTATGCACCACTGTAATTGTTTAAACTGGGAGCTATAAAGCATCCTTCTAGACTGAAGGATTTATTTAAACAAAGTGTTTATTTAAGTCCTGTGCAAACAAATACACAATGAAGAGCTATATATTGTAGAAGGGGAAAATATGGAATGGGCTGTGGGTCAAGGCACTTTTTCTTTTCTAGGATGTTTTGTTGTCATATGAATTATAGGTGCATATTTTTTAAGTTACTAGAAAGGTAGCTGTTAATTTTGTTAAATATTTGGCTTGACTTTCCCCACAGTATACTCCAGATGGATGTGTTAAGCTCAGCCCTGTGTTACCTTTCGTTCTGTACAGAACAGTTGAAGGAACCGGCCAAGGCAGTGTGGCGTGTACCTGGACACACGGCAAGGAAGCACAGTGGAAGCACGTCGCTCCCAAACAGAGGATTCATCAGAGTCAGCCAAGTCAGTATGTCTCTCATTTTTCTTAAACTAGTAAGAGATTGTCCGGTTTAATTCCTTCAGCTCCTGTGTTCTGTGAAAAGTGTTTTCTTTCTCCTACATAACCTTATAAATCAGAAAGAATTTGTTCAATTCAGTCCAGTGTACTTGAAATCCAATACAGGTATTATAACCTTGATCCTGCTCAGTAAAGTTTTGATCCAAAACCCAATGGAAGGATTCCTTCTTATCTAAATCAATGTTTGCCAATGTGGACCAAGAATCCTTGCCAGCTGTGCTTCTGAATGGCTCTAAGATGTCATGGTAAAGGCATGGTTGATTTCAGCCATGTCTTTGTTGCATGATAAGTAGTTACTGCTGGCAAAAAAAAAAATATTCAAATTCTGAACTTACTGAAACATGGACATTTGTGAGGAGTAGGGGATAAGAAATTTGCTGATGCCGTCCTCCTTCATGCTTATATGTTATTGGGGTCTCTCAAGTATGCTAGTATACAGTTCTTCTGACTGGGTTTTCGGTAAGTCTCTTAATTGCTTTAGTGCTCTACTGTCTGATGAGATACATCACTGTATTGCTAGCATCTAGAAGATATGAGGCCTTCTCCTTTCTTCAGTCCCATATATGCATTGAAAACAGCAAACTGAAATTGTGCAGTACTTCTCACAGGCCTAAAGCTGACCATAGTAGAAGAACAGGTACAGATATTTTACTGTGTGGTGGGTTGACCCTGCCAGCTGCCCACCAGGACCACTCTGTCATGCCCCTCCTCAGCTGGAAAGGGGAGAGAAAATATGACAAAAGGCTTGTGGGCCAACATAAGCTGATTAGTGCATAGCAACACATTAGTGGAGTAACATCTTCTTCATGTGCTGAATGCATTGTTCAGCCTATCATCTAGGTAACCTGACATTTCCATTTACTTCAAGGCAGGTACAGGAAAAAAGAGATTGCCTTCTTGCTATTCCTGCTATTCTCTGTGTCCTGGCAGGCTGTCAGAATGGCTTGTGTCTCTCCCGTCCCTGACAGGGTGAGCTGCCTCCCAGGCTTACGGAGAATTTCTTAACTACAGGCCTTTTTAGGCACTCATGTTTTGGGAAAACTTGGCAGGAAAGAGGCAGTGCTGACTGCAATTGAGAGCTAGCAAGGGATTTCCATTAGCACAATAGTCCCCTGCTATAGCAATAAGGAGTGCCTCAGACTGGAACGATGGAGACACTGGCTTCCTGCACATTCCCAGCAGTGCAGTCAATACCTGAGCAGGCCCCTGCTTACCAAATCTGGCCAGAGGGGTTTACTGAGGTGTTCAGAAGCGCGCTGTTAAACATGGGTTTAACCAGTCTCTTCTATTTGCCTTCTACTGGTTTTTGAAGGCAAGCAATATGGTTAGTGGCTTAGGCTATTTTTTTCCTATTATCTTTATAATTTTCTTAAATCGACCCACCGATATCCCCTCAGGCAGCAAACTAGTGAATTTTTTTTTTTATCTAGATGGCCAGGAATAACCCTTAGTAAAGCCCATTTATCATCATTTTCTCTCTATCCTCTCCAGAGAAGTCAGCATACTGTGTGATAAACTTGCTCTTTCACTGATTTGAATAGCTTGATGTGCTCAGGTAAGAGCTGGGAGGTTGCTAAACCAAAAAATAGGCATTGTCCTTTTCTTCTTTGTCAGGAATCCTTTAGTCCGAATCTTCAGAGAGTCTTTGGGAAGACAGGAGGGTATTATTCAGAGGACTGGGGAAGGGCAAATGTAAAACTAGACTCCGTATTTCTTTCTTTCTACATATATATATTACTTTTTTTTAAAGGTGCTGGGGAAAATGAAGGGAATTGTAAGCCAGTCAATAAAATCTTAAAGAGGAAAGGAATTCTAAACTGGTCAATGAAAACTTAATCCCCACACAATTTTTAACAAGTTATTAAACAGTTGCTTTATAAGGACCTTTGGGATAATAAAATTGATAAGCAGCCAGTAAAGATTTGTCAAAATCAAACTGTGGCAGACAATTTTAATTTCCTTCCTTGGCAGTATAGCTAGCCAAGTAGATAAAAGATGAGTGGTAGATGGATGAGGTATATTGACTTACTTGGTTTTGACTGCATGTTCTTGACACTCACATACCATTTATAGAAAATGGCTGGGGAACTCCCCATGAAATTGTTACAGAGCAAACACACAAACAGCTAAGAAAAGATGTAAAGTGTAGCTGTTAGTGGGTCACTGATAATTGAGAGAGCATTGCAGATAGGTCCAGTGTATCTTCTGTTTGGGCTTTGCTCTGTATTTGTATTAGGCACTTGGCTAGTAGAGTACAGAGAATGTATTTCTGGACTACAGCAAGCTGGGATTTTGCATTATTAGCATGTTGAAATTCAAGAGAAGTTCAGCGTGATGATGGTAAAAGACTTCTAAGCTGTGTCCTGCAGACCCTGTGAATCCACTGGTTTCTTATAAGGAGTCATGAAGGGCAACTAAAAAAGCAAGCCTATTATCAGTAGGGCTAACTTCATTACACAGGGCCCTGTGCCTCCACTGGAAACTTTAAAGGGATCCCATGTGGGGAAGAAGGTTGGTTGAAAAGCAGTTGTCTTGACAATTTGGAGAGACCGTCCAAACACGACAAGTTGAAATTCCAAAAGGTAAGTGCAACCAGCTATGTTTTGCATAAGGTTTGAAGGAGGAGTAAAAAGCTAAGGTAGTGTAGCCAACAAAAAACTGAGATTCATAGTTGAAGTACAAATACAATCTGAGATGTGTGAACAAGGAATGTCACATGTAAGAGGGGACATAGCTATTATTCTCTGCTTAGCACTTATGAGGTGTCGGGTAGAGGACCCTGTGCAGTTTAGGGATATTAGCTCTTTTCTCCATTTTTTTCTTCCTTCTTTTAAAGGACAAAGACATCTTGGAGTGTGTCTTAAGGAAGCAGCTGTAATAAATTGCTTTGGTAATATGAACCACAAGAAAATTTTGAAAGAAGTGACTTTGTTGCATCTCACAGGGAAAAAACAAGGGTTGTGGGAGAGACATCTCATGGGAAGTGAAAAGCTTTGTAGGTGATGCTGCCGCCATTAGAGGAGGGCAGAAAAAAGTGGTATGACTTGGGAAGGGTAATAGAAATGTAAGAACTGTCTTTTAAGTATGCAGGTTTCTGTGGTAGCTGCCTAATACCCTGCAGCTATTATGTGATTTAGCCCTCTACATATTCTCAATAACTCCTTAGTGTGCATCGTTAAGCACTGAAATAGCTGACTTAAAGATGTTGGGGAATAGCTTTTGAGATTACAGGTTTCCAGAAACAGGTTAGAGACAAAAAAATCTCAAAGAGGAACAAACTGAATCTGATTGTATCTTGCAGTAGGCATTAGATAAGATCTTTTGAAGTCTCTTCTATCTTGTCCTATAGTTTTACTACTATAGGAACAACTTGAGTAAAGGGAAACTAACTGGCTCTTGAAACCAGCTCTTGTAGCAGCTCAGGAATGAGCATTCTTCTGGAAAAATCTTACACCAGACAGCAGTAAGGTGGTATATTTTTTCAGTAGACTTGCTTGTGACCAGAACCAACAAACAGGAAGATATAGGTAACCATGGGACTAAAGTTAACTCTGCCCAAAGAAGGTTGAAACATTCTCAGCTATTTGGACCAATCTGTACTTTTTTTATTTCCTTAATAAATAAAGTAGTTGTCTGAAAACTGTTGTCAACAATTTTATTTTGGTTTAGTGGAAGGAACAGGTTCTTATATGTCACCTAACTGGGGATCAGGGAATCTCAGTTGCTATAGGCATCTAAGTCATTCTAGTTTTCTGGGCTGAAGTATTATTGTCATTCCTGATGGCTCTCGAGCATAGCAGTGAACAGAATTTGAGCAGCAAATTCTGTGAAAAGAAGCAAATCCTATTTCATGACGAAGAGGTTGTGATAAAATGAAATCTTAGCCGGTTTGATGTTTTCCCAATAGAAAGGATATTAGATTTAATATCACCCTCATTTTTAGAAAAAGTTGTGAAAAATGTCTTTTTATGTAATTTTTCTTCTTGCATTGTAATTTATACAGTAAGTACCGTACCACTAAAAAACAAACAAACCAATGAACTCACAAAACACCACCTAATCCACCCCATTCCTGTGCAGCTGGATTTGATTTGCCAGTTTACAGGCTTGCAGATAAATCTGAAGGGACTGTAGATCTACATGGAAATCTAATAATTAACTGAAAGAAAAGTAACATTTAAGTCACGAAGGGGACAGAACTCTTGGGCTAAATGACTTTTCACTCTTTACACTGGGAAGGATCTATGTACTATACTGAGGCATTCCTCAGATATAGGGTCCACTTGTCCAGTCTTGATTTCCACTGAATTAGAAAAGCTTTCTAAAAGTAGACCAATGTTTAACCTCTTTGTGGAATACAGGCTCAGCTTTTAAATCTGTTGTACCTTATTTGTTTTCCTGTTTGAGAGTTGGCTGTGGATCATGGCTTGTTTCCCAGTAGCGAATGAAATCACACATATGAGAGAGGTAAAATAATTTTTCTCATTTGTAATTTTTGTTTCTCAGAATGATTATACATGACTCTGTCCAAATCTGTGGTGTCTTACATTATATTATGCTGTTTGCAGAAATGGTGATTAATGCTGTTTGTGAGCTGGAGGGTAATAAGAGTCTAGTGTCTGTGTACATTTTGTGCCTGTTGGTTTGCCTGCCTTCATCTGGTATTTGGCGTCTCTTCCAGTATTTCATGAGAACAGAAGAATAGCCATGTTCTGGTCAGGCCAAGCATCCATTTAGTTCCACACTCTCTCCAAAGGCTGCTAGTTAAGCTGTTTGGGGGGAAAAATGTAAGAAATGCATGAAATATATATAGTGATTCTTTCCCATGGTTAGGTCCCTTAATTAGTGGTTTAGGAACCTCCTTAGCTAAAGATTGCACCTAAGCATTTGTGTTTTAAATAATGAGTAGTGGGTCTGTCATTCCATTGTGTTCAATGTCTTGCTG